CTGGTTGTTCCAAACTTCTTCATTTAAGAATGATGGAGGCCACTGTGCTCTTGGGAACCTTCAATGCAGCAGGAATTTTGTTGTATCCTGACCTAGATCTGAGCCTCGACACAATCCTGTCTGAGTTCTGCAGGCACCTCACAGCTTGGTTTTTCTCTGATCTGCACTGTCATCTGTGAGACTATCTATAGATAGTGTGTGTCCAATCAGCTGAATTTAACACAAGTTTACCCCAGTCAAGGTGTAGAAACATCTCAGAGATGATCAAGAGAAATGTGTCTGAATACTTATGTCAATTTGATATTTCAGTTGTTTGATTTTTAACACAGTTGCAAACATTTCAAAAATTCAGCTTTTGCTTTGTCATTATGGGATATTGAGTTTGGACTGAACAGATGAGATCTTTATACTATCTGGATGTTGTGTATATGTATATGTAAAATACAAATATAAGACTGTTAACCATCATGTTGAAGAACTATCCAATCATCACTGCCACTGAGGGTTGGGGGCGGGTATGGGCTATACATTGTACACACTTCTGGTATGGAGACGTTGGCAGATGTTGCACAAACCCAGCTAGGTTGTTTAATTTTGAACACACTGATGATATGGGTGTACTCGGGGACAGCACACATATTTTCTGTAAGTTCATAAACAGTATAGCAACATGTGCGACCTAGCTGCATATGTTTAACACATGTTGCACCTAGAAGTAATGCAGCATGTGCATGGTTCCTCAAATATGAAAACAGTGAAGAAGACAGAGTGTTAGGGTTTGATCAGTCAACAGAGCGAGACACTTCATCCCTCTCAATGACAGCCTCCCAACCTTTATTCCCACAGCCTCAAACTGAGGTCAGACCATTTCTCTAACCATCTTCACATTGTTCCAGTGTTTACGCCAGAGAGAGGGAACAGCAAACTAAGCAAGAGAGCAGAAAGCTACTGGACTGTGAAGACACATCCCATGTGTTCCTGAGGAAGATGCTGAACTTTTCACCTGCTCACTCAGTATTCGGGTTCAGCAATATTATAGCATGTTAACTGAGCACAAGTCACACACAGTATTTACCCAGAAGCATCCTATCACCTCATACATTGTGACTGTGCACTAAACCAGCTTTCCTTTTATTTCCTCTGAAGTAGTTTTGAAGGAGTTTTGTTTCAACTGTGAATTGTAACAGTTTTTGGAAAGACGTCCTGCAGATCAGGCCATCAGATAAGTCTGGAGCAATTTATTTTGTCACTAAGTTTAAAAGAAAAAGTGTGAAAAACCAGATTACTCCGCTAGTTTCACTTTATTTTCTAATAAAAAAAAAGAACCCTAACCCAATCTTGTCCATATGTATTTTTTTTTTTTTTACAATTTTCCCCTAAATGTATCTGGACACATATGGTATCTATACAAGAATTTGAAATAATGTTCTGAGCGTTTGAATGCCATCAGTGGGTCAGTGTGATCAAAGTGTCAAGGCTCAGGTTAGTTCTTTTTTCTCCCTTCCCTTGTATTTCCCTGTGTCTTCCCTGTTCTCCCCTGTGTGTGTGTGTGTGTGTGCGCGCGTGTGTGTGTGTGTGTGTGTGTGTGTGTGTGTGTTGTGGGCATGACTACCTCCCCAAGCTCCTGTCATTCCTACACAAGTGACAGCAACAGTGAAATGAAACAAGCAGATTCCTCTCATACCAAAACAAAAACCAGGGACAATCAAAATGACTTGCTAAGTATTTTTTCAAGTGTGACATAATAATATTATGAAGATCTGGGAGGGGAGACTCTAATAGAGATGCTATTAACTTGCATTATGGAAGTTAAAGGATCCAGTGTTTTTGGAGCTTGACCCATAGAGGCATTGGCAGGATACTGTAGGCATTAATGTGTGAGAGGCTGCTTGGAGGAAGAGATTGGAAACAAGGGTGAAGAAATAACAGATCAAAGTAAATATCAGGACATTCTGCTTCTTAAATAAGCAGCCAGCAGTCAACAGATATAAACCCTCCCTGACAGTGGTGTTAGAGTTTCAATATCCAGGATCACCGGTGCATATGGCATGGACTTAAAGTCAGGGCATCTCTGTCTGTTTTTTTGTCCATTTTGTTTTTAATGTCTCTTGTTAATCTTCCTACTTCATGCGAGTGTACAAAGAGCACTGTCAGACATCATCACCAGCTGGCTCTCATTCTGTCACTTTTTGATTGGTAAATGTACAATCATACTTCATAACTCTAACAAATTTTATAAGAATAACTTTTATTTTGAAATGATCCCATGTTTCAGAAGTCTGCTACAGAAAATTATTACTTCTGTTAGAGAGACTCCGGCTATAAATCACAGTTAAATACAAAGGATTTTTATTATGCTCTATATCTTTGATTGGTGTTGACAGTAGTTTTTACACAGTACAACCAAGTTTTATCAGTTTGTTCATAAAAGCTCCACCCCTCTGTTCTCTAACTGACCTGAACATCACTCTACATACTGCACATCTCTTTGTTTGTGAATGATTTGACAAACAAAAAGGAATTTGTTCATGCATAGTATGTCATTTATATGCATGAAATAAAATCATGAATATTTGATGTATTAACAGTGCTTTATTTTCATTCTCATATTTTCCGCCTTTACTTCCCTGGAAGTAGGAGGAAACAAAGCCACTGTCAAGAAAAGACAAACGCTTCTCAGGACACGACACTGCACAGTCATAAAACTACATTTCACTTGTAAAATGTTGAGTTACTTTTTCTTTATTCCACTAATTCCATTTCATGCTACTTCATACTTTTACTACGTTATAGAGTGAAATATTCTACTTCTCCTAATATTCAGTGGATAACTTCAGGTAGGCTATCAGTTACTTACTGACAGTAGCCCACAAAATATCACATTAATGCGTCAATGGTTATAGTTTCATTATTCTGCATGATGAGTGTTTTTACTTTGGCCATTTTATTCATATTTTAGTGCTAATACTTTTTGAAAATGGACTGGAGGTAAGCTACACTGTGCTATTTGCTTCTTTTACTTCATTATATAAAAGATCTCCCTCCACTGCAGTTCACACACTATTGAACAACAGATGAGCAGAGTTTAGCTCTTTACGCATCAAAATGTTCATTCATGATACTAATACTCTGCGACTGGGACTGCTCAGTCTGGATATGATTCTTCTATAGCACCTGTGTTTTCTTTTTATAATGATAACTTTCCTCCGTGTAACAGTGACTCCACCCTACCTGGCGTCTGTCTGTCTCTGTCCTTTTTATCATCATCTGACCGCTGGATTAACAATCAGAGCAGATTATAGCTATAATAAACCCCAAAACACAGGTTCAAAGGTCAGTTTCTACCCTGGAGGTACGGCTGTGCACTTATAGCCGAACGGTTTGATTAATATGCTGCTAAAGCTCAATTCATCTGCCCCGTGAAGTCATAACCGGTTATTATTATTTTTTTAAACTGATCTGAATATTTCTTCAAATCTAAAATCAAAACCATGAGCCAATTTATTTTATAACAACAGGTCTGAAAGTCTTATTTCAAAATAAGATGCTTGTTTACTTCATTTACATCCCAGAAAAATTAAAAAATGCATCGACTCTCGAGAAAAGGAAAGGAAAGGAAATGCCTTGAGAATAATCGATAGGCTATAAGAAATGATAATAAGTTATAATATTTGTCAAACCAGACTGAGAATGAATGATAGGTCTATCATACGGACAGCTGTAGCCATAATAATTATAGTAATTAATAAGTCCTCTGCACAGTGCTCCACATCGGCCAATTTGGAGCCATTAGGCCTGTAATGATTTACTTCCAAACATCAAACGGTGGAGCACAATGAGGGTCTGGCTGCTGTCTCTGCCTGCACGTCTTTAATTCTCCATAACAAAAGTACAAAGGCCGAGACGGAGACCAAAGGCTTTACCCCTAAACACATTTAACACCTCTTCGGGCCGCGGCGCCGCGCCGGGCCGACGAGCACTCCTCGGCCTGTCTGGAGCGCCGGTGATGGGGCAGAGGAGGAGAGAAGAGCTGCCCCGGGGGAACTCAGACAGTAGCGGGGCGTGAGGGGGGAGGGAGGGGGTGTTTGTTGGGACAGAAACACCTCATCTTCTCCCTGTGTGTCTGAACAAACCTGAATGAAGCGTGTGTGAGAGAGTGTCAAAGGAGACTTGGGCCAGTATCTTCACCGGTGCCTCTGAAGCGGAGCTGCCTGCAGGCCTGGAGGGGAGAAGAAACACAGGACCGTCGTGAAAAAGACGGAGGGAAATTTTGTCATTTCTACACCTTTAAAGACAAACAACCTGATGCGTGAGTAAACGTTTTGAGCAAACTTTGTTATCACTGAGACCCAAACAATCAATTCCTAATGTTGTGTTTTGTACAACAAAAAAACAAAAAAAACAAAAGTCTTTTAAGTCTTTTACTTTTTTTTACAAAAAAAACATTTTCCAAATATTCTAAACAGTTGAGAAACAGAAATATGTCCTTATGATTTATACTTTTGATTAATACCTTACTTCCTCATTGTCCCACAGACCCCCACTCCTCTATGTGTAAAAAACATAATTAGCCTCCATGTTTTTTTTCATCTGACCATATTATGACCTAATATTTAGAAAAGTAGTTCCATTTGTCATAAACTTTTTATCGTGACAAAATTCATAAATTAACATACATTACTGCACCAAATTAAGACATTTTCATGCTTTATGCGTTAAATGGACCAAATAAATCTATATGTCTTTTTAATGCCGAAACCTCACCCACAGCCAAAGTAATAAAGAGCTGTACAGTAGGCCCTGTCTTATTATACAGTCATACTCCAAACATCAAACTGTTATAAAACTCTTCGTAGACTTATTTGGGATTTGGGAGAGGGAGTTTCTGAGTAAAAAACATTCTGTCAACACCAATCACAGATGTAGAGCGTGTAGGTTCATAAAAATCTATTGTATTTAACCATGGCTGCAAACATATTATGTTTGATATTTCCTGGAACATGTCAGGTCAGAATCCGTTTTTGAGCCTATAAAGAGCCCAGGAAGATCATTAGGGTTAAGAAGTATAGAAAAGTGACTATCAAAGTTTGGTTGTATTTCTAATGTCTTAGTTACAGGTACAGGCTGTAGCGTACAGCATAGAAACATCTATTTGAAGTCTTTTTTTTCGCCGCCTAATCGGACATAATAACAAAGCTACATCCACTAACAGGTACAGGCTGTATTAATATTAGGCCTTATTGTAAAGTGTGCCACGTGCCTGCTGTGAGCTCGCGCTTCTGTATCCATCATTTCAGTGGCAGAGGGCAGACGGACGCCGGTGGCGGCTGTGGCCGGGGAGGAGCAGCAGGAGCCCTCCCAGCGCAGCGTCTTCCTCGACCAGAGTCGGCGGCACCGGACGGCGTTCACGCGAGAGCAGCTGTCCCGACTGGAGCAGGAGTACGGCAAGGAGAGCTATGTGTCCAGACCCCGGCGGTGCGAGCTGGCCACGGCGCTCAATTTACCAGAGACAACTATAAAGGTACAGTGGTGAAGCAGCCCTGCAGTCAGCGTGGTTAAAGGGCCATGTCGCAGTTCTTCTATGTTTTACACTAAAACCAATAAGTTTATAAGGACTAATGATATTAGCTACTGTCATACATTTCAGAATACTTTCCCCTATAGGAAGCCATTAGTTTCAACTCATGCAGTGGCTAAATTATGAATTGTTAGAGATTAACTATATATAACAATGTGACAGAGATCAATAATCTATAACATTGGACAGTGTAGGACTTCTCTTTCTCTTGTTTTTATGTTTTATTAAAGTTATGTTCTGGTTGCATGATGCTTAGATAGTGATTTGAAAGTCATGGAAGCTCCTTTATCTATCCACTTTACTGGACTTAGAGTCTGTGCTCTCTCATTTTCTCATTGTTTGCTAAAGTGAATGAAAACTGGTGTTTTACCTGGATAATCTATTAAAAAACTACATTTTTAATTTTTAGCCTTTACAATATGGACTGAAACATGTTTCATCTTTCATACATAACACAGCTGAAATGAAGTCTGCATGTAGCATAACGGTTTCATCAAAATGAAAACAATCATTATATTCCACATATTATCTCCAACACCAATTAATGTTCAGTCATCCACAATATGAGATGTTTTAAAGGGGTAGCTTATACAGTTAGAGCATCAACCTACCTGTATTTTAATATTAGAATGATACTTTCATCTGCTATTAACTCCTGGTGCTCAGAGTCAGGTCTGGGGGATTTAGATGGTTGAATAGATCAGTGAGAATCAGGCGGGATTACCAAGCAAAACGGGAAACTGTGCAGGTTTATTGTATGGTAATTCATTTGTTTGTGTGTTTATTGTGTGTTAAGATAGATAGATAGATAGATAGATAGATAGATAGATAGATAGATAGATAGATAGATAGATAGATAGATAGATAGATGGACTGATTTTCTTTACTCACTGTCTTCATCAGCAGATGAAAATTGTTCTGTTGTTCTAGATGTTTGACCTTAGAAACAGCAGTGAACAAAACAATCTCCATTCAAGATCCACATATTAGCAGTTTTGACTGTTTCGTTAAGTCTTTATCAGGTCAAAAGTAATAACTAGAAATTCCTGAATAGTCCTTTTTCATAGCAGACATGTTTATTTGTCATAACAAGAAAAGCACAGGTGTTACGTATAACATGAACGATGGCTCTGTTGTATTCAAGTGTCTGGCGAGTCGTGACAGGATGACAGTGAGCCTGCATGAACAGTACAGCCCCTTTTACACTACAGTCAAAAACCCACTAACAACCATCATTAATTCATTATTTATTCATTATTTACATTTGCTACTATGATACGTCCAAATGTCTTCTGTGAAAAAGACCTATGACTCAAATTGATAGATTCAAGAATGCATTTTGTCATTTTAAATTGTAATTTAGTATTGGAACATGGTATAATGCACCACTGAAGCACAACAACATGACCTGACATGATTAGGGCCGTAACTTAGTGTTATACTTTCCGCATGTGGAAGTACACGAGGGTCCGTGTTAGGTAAATTTCATCATCAGAGGGTGTAAGCACTTTGTTGTGTCCATGTGCTCCTCCAAGCAGACTAGAAGTAAGTGTAATATCAACAACGTGGTGTCTGCAGCTGTCCGTGTGTGTGTCCTGAAGGAATTATAATTGAGGCCTTTAGGTGGGTCCTTCCATATTATCTGATCTTGTAAAGGTTTCCTGCACGTGGTATTTAAATGTTACTGATAGTGTCTTTATATGGTGCATATTCTTAAATCAATTTGTGCTTAATGAAACTATTACACGGCAAATGCAGGGCCGTAGATTATTATATTCCACTACTTTTAATCAGACAAAGTGCAACACTGTCTCTGCTTTCAGTCTCAACACACCTGCCTTCCTGTTCTTTTCCAAGATCAGCTGCAACAATGTTAGTATGTGAGGATCCCTGCACAAAGCTTGTATTTGATTGTTCACTTCTCTTGTCATTAGACAGTCTCCCTCAGTCTGCATACGTGTGAGCAGTTGTGGAGGTAGTGTGCAATGAAAGGTTGGTCTGTCCATGAACATCAGCTTGCTGGACTTAAGGTGAAACATAAAATACAACTATCTTTACTCCACATGATTTCTGCATAGATGCTTTTGTTGTCATGGTTGTAGTTCTTTTAAACCTTGTATTTAGTTTGAAGCTAAAAACACTGGTTTATATGTGAGCAGAGGAGGGAGAGGCAGGGGGAGAGAGAATTTAAGGAAATCCTTCAACAATTTGGGAAATACACTTGTTAGATTTCTTTCCACATTAAATGTCTGAGTACAGAGCTGGACTCGAGAGATGTTTACCTTTAGCTATAAGCATTAAGACTGAAGGAAGGAGAGAACAGCTGGCATGTCTGACTCTGGCAAATATACAAAAGTACACTGACCAACACCTCACCGCTACATAATTACAAGAATAGTTCTACATTTTAGAAGATGTTTTTGGTAATTTTCTAATAAACAAGATTTAAATGAGAAAATCATTACCAGTGTCAGTGTACCATGTCTGTACAGTAAGTAATATGAAGCCACCACCAGAAGCCAGTTAGCTTAGCTTAGCATAAAGTCTGAATACAGGTGCAACAGTTATGGCAGGAACACACTGCCTGTGTTGCATGTGCGAGGTGGCTATGTCAGTGAACTGCTGTGACTCACAAGTGTGTGTGTGTGCTCAGCTTTATCTCTCTACATAGAGTTTGCAGGTTACTGAATGTTGCATTTCTATTCATTATTAATTCTTTTCTGATTTATTTTTGACAGAAAACGTCACTAAACAGCCACTGTCTCCACATGCAGCTGCTAAAAAGCTGTTAAAAAGGTTAAAATATTTATGTATATCTATGTGTATGTAGCAGAATATGTATCATATTCAGCTTCAGGATAGACAGAGACAACTATAGTGGAAGGTGTCAGTTTTATGTCATGTTGCTGCTATGGTGTGATTGTGACATCAACGGGTCTTTTCTGTGTCTATTTCTGCGTCTCGTCGCAGTTACACAGCCAGTGTGTTCGCTCTAACCCGTTAATGTGTGCCGAAATGAAAATCAACACATTCCACAGCCACCACGCTTACGCCACGCATCCAGTGTGCATGCTTCCTGGCCTTAGCCTGGCTCTTTTCAAAAGCTCCCTAATTAAATGATGATGGCCAAGCCCAGCAGGTTACCTCCCTAAAACAAAAAAAATGTGTTCTTCTACTTTGTTCTTAAGGAGGATTAGACAAAAGACATGTCATGTCTTCATTAATGAGTTTAAAAGAGCTTGCAGGAGAAATTGATTGACTGGAAAGAACTATGCTAGCTGTTTCCCTCTGTTTCCTGTCTTTGTGCTAAGCTAAGCTAACTATGTGCTGGCTTCAGCAACATATTTATCTCACAGGCATGAGAGTTCTCATCAAACACTAGTAAAAAAAGCTAACAGGTGTATCTGTTAAAATGTAGGAAAGCAAATTAGTGTATTTTTGTATGGTTTATCCAATCTTTACACACACAGAAGAGTAAAAATCATGTGGTTTTAGGTGAAGTTAAATACTGGAACATTTTTTGGTGAGCATCTCTGTGTCAAAAAATAATTTCTACATTTCTTTTTTTCTTTTTTTCTTTTTTTGACAGATTAAACAAGTCACAAAATGTTATTTAGTAAGCATTAGAGGTGTATATTTGACCTTTAGAAAGGCTAGGCTAATTGTTACCACCTGCTTCTACTCTATATGTAAAGCTAAGATAATTACTCTTTAGCTCTACCTCCATAAGGAACAACAACAGTGTCTAATGTACATCCTTCACTGATTTTAAGGTCTTATGAAATTCTATTGTCTCACCTCATTTGTTCACACACAGTTTCTTTGCTTATAGACCACAAAAACAAGCAGATCAAAACAGAATCAGAGACAGCTACTCACCTACATGATTACACTCTCTTGACATTTCTCATGAATGTGAGTTTTTCATCTTCTCTTCTCTTATTTGTCATTTCAATCAGCGCAGGAGATTGAGTAGTGACAGGTTTAGCAGCATCTAACATTTGACGCAGAGGCCCACTGACCCACTGCAGCAGCTTTAATATGCAGTAAATGCAGCCACCTTTTTGGCAACTACTGGAGAGTCTTTTATGAAAGAGCAGGAATGCGAGGCGAGGCCTTGTAAACGCCACCACCTGACGTTTTAGAAGCGCAGTCTTCCGGGAGAGTCTGTGAGTAAAATAGTTGAGGACTGGACAGACAGACACACACACAACTTGTCAGCCTCAGCTATAAAGTTTTAAGAAGGTGGAGACATCAGTGCTGTATTAATGTGACGAACTGAAGCGAAATGGAATCTGCTGCAGAGTAATGCAATTGGAATATTTACATAAATTAGGAGTAGTAAGTACAGTAATATTCATGTTTCCCACACAATGTATCCCAATGACTGTGATGATCCCCTGACATTACCTGTAGCACCACCAGCAGGTTGGCATGTTTAGAAATTGAAAAGCAAAAATTGAATGGATTGCTGTGAAATATACACACATTCATGTTCCCCACATGATGAATCTTACAGGATTTGGTGATCATTTAACTTTTATTTCAGCTCCACCAGCTGGTTGACTTTTTTTTTTGATTGAAATATTGGATGGATTATCATGAACATTGAGATAGATATCCAACACACCCAGAGGCTTAATTACATTTTTATTGATGATCCCGTCTTATCATCTGGCACCGTGATCAGGTCTAAATTAAATACTTTGGTTTATGACCACATACCTGCAACACTAAGGACATTACCATCAGCCTCAGCTGCACTTTGTGTTTAGTGTTACTTAGCAGGTGTTAGCATGCTAATGATCATGAACATGTTAAAGACCCCTCTGATGAAAATCAAGCATTTAACCTTGTTAACATACATATGATGTTTTTATAAAACACAAGACATATGATGAGTGAAATAATCATCAGCACCATGACTGAGTGTTTCCACCTTGACCTGCAGTGAACCAATGACAGTCTCATAAACACAGATTCAGACTGCCAGGGTTTCATACACCACAAACCTAAGGAACCAATCCTGTCAACTTGTGGGGACGGGGGGCGGGGCTAAATCAACCTGAAACCTCGTCAGTACAGAGAGAGAGAGTTAGCGTTAGCACAACAACTAACACTGTGTCAGCCACTTTGAGTTACAAGCTAACAAACAATATAAACAAATAAAAGATGCTAACTGCGCTAACTGTTCTAATCCATTTGCTAGTCTCTGGTTCTGGTCTCAACAGACTCCTCATCTGAGTCTGGGTCTGACTGAGGCTAAACCATGTGGCTGAGTCTCTCTGATGTTTCCTCCTCTCACCATCTTGATACCCTCTGCTCTTTCACCTGTCCACCTGGAGACAGCAGGTGGTGGGCGGGGCTCAAGGCCTGATCCATGTATAGGAAGTAAGAGTACATGAGCTTCTGACCCAGTTTTTTCACCCTTAATGTGGGAAAACCATGTTAAAATGTTGATCATATGAGAGGATTTTTATATGGTTTAAAACATGTCTGGAGGAACTTTAACATAACCTGGTAAACATTAGCATGTTAACATTGTAATTGTGTAAATTCTATACATAACAAAACAACAAAAGACGTGGATGTGTGCATTAGCAGTGTAGATGTCACCACATCCAGCCTGTTAGTCCACAGTCCAGTCCAGTCATGACGTGGTTGTACTGTAATTAGTTAGAACACAAGACAGGAAATATCACGCTGACCTGTATGTTGAGTCGCTCTAATTGATGTTGGGAGGAAACATAAATCCTCTGTACATCCATCCATCCTCCCTGATACTTTTTCTGCGCCACACCAATGCTACACCAATGTCACACTACTTCCTGCCTGTTCTTCCCGTACTGTTTGAACACATGACCACTGCTGTCGACTTCTATGAACAGCTTCACTTTCATCGAGAGTGGCTGTGACCATGTATGCTTCAGTACTTTCTCTCCACAGAGGAGACTCACGGCGACTCCACCTTCTCACCTTTCTGACTTTCTCCATATTTTGTTTCTTTCCTCACTCCTTTCCTCCATCCCCTCTCTCCAGGTGTGGTTCCAGAACAGGAGGATGAAGGATAAACGCCAGAGACACTCCGTGCCTTGGCCTCACCCTCTCGTCGACCCCCTGGGTGCACTCTTGATGGGCCGTGCCTCTTCTTCCTCCACCTTACCATACCCCTTCATCCCGCCCCCACTCCCCCACCTCCCCCTTCACCACTACTCCTCCCTGGCTCTCTCCTTGCCAGCATCCTCAGCTCACAGTCCCTACAGTGCACCCATGAGGCCCCTGGATGCACTCCGCTTCTTCCAGTACCACAACAGGCCTGGGGGGCTGCCTCAGACGACAGCAACCCTCTACCCCCCCGCCAGCATCGTGCACCATCCATCTTCGTGCCCCTGTCCCCTTTGTCTGCACTCGGGACCAGAACAACTCCTTAAAGCCAGAGGGGAGGCACTGGGACTGAGCCAGCCCCGTGGTCTCAAGGCCAACATCCAGCCTGCCGGTGTGGAGTGGACAGAAGAGATGGTGTAAATCCAGATGGAAACTACACCATGATCTCCGAGGTTGTCAAACTGCTGCAAACAAATAAGTTGTCACAAGTAGCAGCATACTCACTTTGGCTTCATTCAATGCTGTCGACAAGGAGGGGCAACTGCTATACACTAAAGTGTCGTGTTTTCTAAATACTCTAAATAAGAGACTCACATCAAAAGCACCTCAAAACACTGGAAATGGAAACACGCAAATCAAAGGTCTTATCTAAAACATCAAAAATCACATGGCACTGCAAACTGGCAGCATAATGGAGAGCCGTGCCACTAACAAGTTCATTTTATCGGCCTGAACACTAACTATTTTGCCAGTGCTAACACATCGAACTCATTTTCATTTGGTTAACACTGCCAGCCCAAAAAAGATGCCTTCAGATTGACTACAAAACAAATGTTTGTCTCACTTTGCTTTTGTTTGTACAATCACCGTTTGTTCGTCCCAAACAGTTAATGTAGCAATTGTAGTAATGTTAACCTGATGGCTCAGACTCTTAACGCGAACTTCAGGTCTTTCTATTATATTCTCCCAGTCTCTCTCTCATTCTTGGTAATGTTCCTGAAGAGGGGTCCTTGGTTATAGCTGTGGTTACGAGAGCAATGCTCTCATTCAAGCTGTCACATGGATGCAGTTTCCATTCATTTTGAAGTGACCTGTCTAAATTGGTTTGGATTCAGTCTGAGCACACCTTGAGAAACCTTAAAGTGATAGTTCAAGTTATATGATGTGGGGTTGTGTGAGGTACTTATCTGTAGTCAGTGTATTACCTGCAGTAGATTCAGATCAGAGCGCTCCCAGTCTAGAGAAGCAGCAGGAGCATCAGCACAGAAGCTGAATGAGGAGCTGCTGTGGACGGAGCCATCCGCACAAACCTGTTTTAGTCACTTTAAAAAAAAAAATACCCACAGAAAAGGTAATACGCTGAGTATAGATAAGTACCTCACACAACCCCACGTCAAATAACCTAAACTATCACTTTAAGTCCACAGTATAAGTACTGCAGAAGTGAATGACATCAGGTTTGTATAAAAAGGCGAAAAGCAACAGTGCTCCTGATGGGCATTACATTTTTAAGTGTAAACTAGGGTTCAATTTAAGATTACTTAAACAATTAATCAGGTGGTTATAAATATTGCAAATTAATATTCTGTCAATAATATAATCGACTAATTGTTACAGCTTTACATTAAAGCGTTGACTTTTGACCAACAAAATGTAATCAGTCCATCCTTGAGTCCAAGTAAACGTTTGTGCCTGATTTTAAGAAATTCCCTCAAACTGTACCTGAGATATCAAATTCATTAGAATGGGATAAACATTAGGGTCACAGCAACATTAACCTTTGACCTTTGATCACCAGAATCTAATCAGTTCATCCTTGAGTCCAAATGAACATTTGTGTCACATTTGAAGCAGTTCCCTCAAGGTGTTCCCGAGATATCACATTTACCTGGCCGGCGTAAAAAAGAATGGACACAGACAATGCAAAGAGTAGTTTGTATAAGGATGTTCGATGTGACTCAGATAATATATCTTTCTATTTTTTAGGGAGTTTAACCAGGAAAAAGTAACACAGGGGTATATGTTGAAGTGGTCGCAAAAGCACAATCACACTGAGTGAAGCCTTTAATGTACATATCAGGGTTTGGTTGGTTTTTCATTGTTTTCTCTGCTGTAACACTACAGACTACTGCTTTTATTTATTTGTACAACTGTAAAACTTTAAGTGGCATTCACTGACACCTTGGGCTATTTCAGGGTAAAAAGAGTACAGTTCGAAGCTGTTTACATTTCATTGAAGAGCACATTAAGTTCCTAGTTAGGGCAGGAAACGCTAACTATGATGCTGTATATCAGTGTGCTTCTGGCAGGGTTTCAGTTGTATGATTATGTTAGACAGAAATGAAGGTGTTGAAGTGTGTTAAAAAATATATTGAATAAATTGTCAAACAATCTTGTGGAAATGCTAAATACAACAGTAACCTTTACTTCCAGCATGTACTTACATGTACTTAAAGTTATAGGAATTAGCTTTCTTTCTGAGGGTGAGATGAAAAGTTCATGTCCAAGTATGTAGCTGGAGTGAACATGTGGTTAGCCCAGGTAGCATAAAAAAAAACAGCTAGCCTCACTCTGTCCACAGTTAAAGGTCCATATTGTACACTTTTCCTGTGTTTTATTTGAAGTGATGATCCATAAGAAGATATATTTGTGGTTTTACAAAACAAAAACAATCACAAAGTTTTACATCTCCTCTCTCAGGCTTCTCTCTGGAGCTCTAGTAACAACAGGTCAGTGAGCCAATCAGAAGAGAGGAGGCTCTGAGCCTCTCTTCTTATTCCTTCAAGGTTGGATGGTGGATGGTGACTGCTTTGTTGTGACATCACAAAGTTCCAGAAGTCCTGACGGCTGGTTTTAAGGCTCAGTTTCTGAATACAGGCTGTGTGCATTTCTCTGTGGACTGAGGCTTTGATACTTTCACAGTATTAATATAGAACCTAGACCTGCTTTATAATCAAACAACACATAGACATCTACCTTTATACTACACAAGTCCTTTAAATAATATGCTTATACCAGTAACTTAACCTGATGAGTCAGAAGGTTTGTTACAGAAGCATCTGGGAAGGCTTTGTTGGAAACTGGAAAAGGGGCAGGTTTGTTCAAAAGTTTACTTGGCAGGTGATTGGATTAACCATGAAGCAGTAGGACAGCACCAAAGAGGAAACACAACACAACAACAAGCTGCAGTCGGAAAAGCTTTGAAGTTAGTACATCAGTAGACCATTCGTCTTTGTGGGGAAAATTTGCACATACAACGCACTTTTACAAATTCAATATGCTTGGCATCACAGGACAATGCACCTACTGGCCTACTTAGATATGGAACTAATAAATAAAGTTTTTCTATATTGTATAATACAGTATGTAATGAAAACAAATGAGTCAATATATAATCAGGTGAAAAGAATTTGGTGTGACGCCACACAAACAAAAATCATATATTTAACCGTTTTAGCTCTGTATCAGAAATGATCTCTGTCCAGACTATCACACCTGAAACCGCACATCACATGAGCGTTCAGGTACACTGGGCATGTTGAGCTGGTGTAAACAGGAAGCAGATTGTCTACTCTGCAGTTGAGTCGTTGTGGAAAATACCACAAACATGGAACAGTAAAGACAGTTGTAGTGGTTGTCTGTAAATGGCAGAATTTAACTGCGCAACAGCTGCTAGCAAAGGTCTCAGCTTTTGCACAATCCTGGATATTCAAATTAAAATGGGGTCAGCAGCATTTCCAAAAGTCTTTGTTTTAGGGGCTCGGAAAGTGTGAAGTAGTGTGGACGGCAGGTGTAAACGTAGCAAAAGAGATGAGTTTTAAAACTTTAAAACTGGATATACGTAGCTTTAGACTACCAGGTGTATATACACCATTCCCAGGTGAGAACCTATAAACATAAAATAATATAAAATTGTAATGACTGGAAGGTTTAATTCTGGACCTTTGGGCAGAATTACACTAACAGACTTAGAATTGAATAAGGTTTGGGGAAGTTTAGTGTACAGTTTTGCAAGACTGTACATAAGTGTGCTAATATGCTCACAATGGCAATGCTGACAACATTCTGATGATTATAAGGTATAAAGTTTATGATCTTTCCCATCTTAGTTTAGCAAATTAGCATACTAACATTTGCTAATTAGCACTAAATACAAAGAACACCTGAGGCTGGGGGGGGGGGGGTTGTTGATTTTGTAGATAGTTGGTCATAAACAAAAGTTAAGTTTATTTGTAGAGCACAATCTCATACAGAATTAATTCAAAGTGCTTTACTGAGTGACACAACAGTAATAATTAGGTTTGGACAAAGCTACAGGCAGACAGTATGCATGTCACATATACTGTATATTCAGATGCCAGGACATTTATTGCTTTATAGATAGGACTGCTTGTCAGAAAAGCATGGGGTTTCTAAACTACGCATTTTTGAGATGATGAAAAGAGTCAATAATAACTCCCAGGTTTTTGACTTGGTCTGTGATGGTAAAGTGGAGTTGGACTCCAAGTATGTGCAGACCTGCTGCCTCTGTGCCTTTGCTCTAAATACTATGATTTCTGTCTTCTGTCTGTTCAGTTGCAGGAAGTATTTCAACATACAGAGACAAAGATCTGTCAAGAAGTTTAATAATGAATCTAATGTACTAATGTTATCAGGTAATCAGCAAGATGTAAAGTTGGGTATCCCCTGCATGTCTCTGAAAAAATGATCTTGTATTTGCAGATGATAGAGCCAAGTGGAAGCATACAGGTATCAAACAGTAGGTCAAAGGATGGATCTTTGTAGGACTCCATATAGCACATCAAATCTATACAGCTGAAGTCACTGAGAGAAACTGTTAAAGTTCAGTGTTCAAGATAAGATCAGAAGTTGTAGAGTGTTGGATAGGCCAACCCAGCTCTCACGCCTTTTGATTAAAATATTATGGTTGACAGTATCAAAATCTGAGTTTGAGCATAACCTGCACAGAAAGTTTTTTTTGCATCACTGACAATCCTTAAGTCATCTTGACAAGAGCTGTTTCAGCGCTGTGAGGTGAGGTTAAAAGCAGGCAGGGTGCTGACGGTCTACAGTTCTGAGTGACTTTCTCTTGGATTTACACATTCCATTTAGTGTTTTTAACACTGGCCTTACACTCCGGGCCAATGAGCTAACCAGTGCTCCCAATGGCAACGTCATGGCCTGACATGAGGGGAAAATATCATAGATGTAATGTGTAACCAATTCCTACTGAAATTTGAATGTAAGCTTATATAATAATTCATACTGAATAAGGAGACTCAAACGCACAGAATGTACCTTCTACAGCTAGGGGTCTCTCAATCAAAACAATAACAAAAGACAGTGTTTGGTGACATCGTGAAGTAGCGTTGGATCGTGGGAGTCGTCTTCACCACCATTGCCATCAGCTTCTCCTGGTT